TCGTTATTTTCTTTTGTGGTGCAATTTAAATCGAGCATCTAGATTCTGTATAAGTTATTTCTTTAGTATTATTGCATCTCAATAAAAAGTTGTTAGAGAAGGTGGTAATAATCGATATTATATCTCAGGTTATAGTAAGCTTATGTTATTTGTTGTTATTTTGACTAACATTAAAGGCGTAATTTTGATAAAATTATTATACAAATAACGTCAGATTGTTACCTGGGACATGGGATCCCATTTAAATTTTATACAATAACGTGGATATTATAATTAATATTTGAATTTTAGATTTAACGATTATAATCGTCAAAGCGTTGTTCAGTTAATTCTAGACTCAGAGTTATGAAATATTCGTTACAGAGTGTATAATGGCTTAAAGAAAAACAGAGATGATAACGTAGAGCTGATAACCTTCCACAAAAAATAATATTTATTTATGAAATTAACCAAAAATATCGTAGAATGTATATAAATACATATGCATACACGCACACATAACTTCTTTCGCATACATCTGGCTACAATCTCTAGTCCTACTAACATAATAATCAGTACGCTTAGGGAATCACATTTGTAAAATGCCATGCATATGTTATTTGGTTTAACTTTATATAAAAAAAACTCGAAATGTATAAAGTCAAATAAAATGTTAAGAACAATAACAAACAATACTCTGAAATATATGCATACGCAAGGAACACACCGAGTCAAAAGAAAGTTAAAACTTTATTTTGACGTCATGAGAATGAAAATGATGATTTTTTTGTTGCGTGATAATACATTCAAGTTTAAGAATAATGAGGAAGTGTGTGTGTGTGTGTGTGTGTAATTAAATGCTAAAATATATTTTTAAAACGTTTTAAAATGCTTAAAAGTAAAAATGCGTTATAATAAATGTTGCTTATGTATATTGATACAATAGCATTATCAGTGTTACGGTGTAATGATGACAAGCTACTAAATAAATAATTCTTCAAATAATAATTTGAATTTATCATTTAATAGCAAAGAAGGGCTATTATATTTATTTACTATTAGCCATAATACTATCTTTTTTATTGTATTATTATTATGATATTATATATATAACAATAATTTCGTAAAATGAGCATACAGCCACACAAAAGTTCTTATTCGTGATAAATCATTATAAAACAAATAATTTATTCATATCATTGTCATAATCAAATAAATAAACGTTTCGGTCATTAACTTGACCATCTTCAGTATTCAATTACAATTATAAATATATTCTCTAAAATTAATTCATGTGTCAAAAGTTTATAATTCTATACAATATATTATTTTCGCTTACGACATTAACAATAACGTCATATTTAATTAATTTTAGAGAATATATTTATAATTGTAATTGAATACTGAAGATGGTCAAGTTAATGACCGAAACGTTTATTTATTTGATTATGACAATGATATGAATAAATTATTTGTTTTATAATGATTTATCACGAATAAGAACTTGTGTGTGGCTGTATGCTCATTCTACGAAATTATTGTTTTGAATCTAACCACGTTTTTGTGTGTGAAATTTATATTATTATATATATATATCTCTTAATATCTTCGCTGATAGCGACAAAATAATAATTATTCATCTAGAAAGTATGAAAACATATTACAAATCTAAAGAAGCCTTTAAGTATGATTTAATGAAACATTTTCCCACTTCCTTTTTGTGAAAAAGAGAAAATTGTAAAAACTACAGGAATAATTTGCGAATATTTTCTCAGTAGAAAGTAGTATGAAGTACTTAGGCAATAAGACGCTCTTTTTGTTATTCTCGTAAAGAACGCGCGGAAAATTTCAAGATTAACGTCCATGCATTTGCAAGATTAATATTCCTTATTCAATGGGAGAAGTTATTTTCTCTCGTTTATGTCGTGTGCGAGCATTTCTAGGTATTCGTACTATGTCGCCGCGTCTCGCGAACAATAGAGCTCGAGAACAGCTGGCTTTATCCCGATATATTGGTCGAGTGTTGTTCCATTTGCCGACTTCAGTCAGCGACAACTTTAAATACCTGAGAACGCCGTGAAGGGTAAGGCAAGAGTTCAAAGTCGCCCTCAGAAAGCGAGATTTCAAGCTCTTCTTCGAAGGCGACAACTTTGAAACGCTGACGTCGCGTGTCGCTTGTAAATCTGCGCCGCTTGAGAATCGAATTAACCGTGGGATTCTGATCAAAGCGATCTTTCCTTGAATACTATCCAGCGTGATTTTATATATTTCCCTCTTCCGAAGAGATCCTGTTCCATCGGAACAAATTTAACGTCGGATCGGCATCGAACCGAGCGATGAACCACCTTTCGAGAACGCGGAATAGAGGCACCACCTCTCTGTGTTACATCGTCTCGGAAATTGCACGTAAAGTGGTTTCGCGAAGCGAATATTGAGTATTCTCAGCCGATAATTTGTGCTCTGGGTCACGTAACTGCGCCATGCTCAGTTACCGGTGGTTTTGTCGGCGAAACTTTTATTGTACAAGCGGGCCATTAATCGTCGCAAGTTTTCGATTCCCTTCCATAGTCGAGGTCGCCGCAACAAAAAAGGTACATCCCAACGTCGGTGAGAACACCTGGTGTACAATGCTGCTAATGAAATTGTCATCCATTTAAAGGACGACGAGAACAGAACCGTAGAAACTTCTATCTCTCTCCATTTAAGAAACCCCTTCGACACTAATCCGATTTCGTCCTAATTCGTTTGATCTTTCTAATATCTTCTTATAGGAATGCATCCAGATATATTTTAGAGTGCCCTTTTAGAGTATCAGTTTTCATCGTGGATGGCCCTTGTCATATGAGTAAAAATGGAGGTAGAAAGTTCGAACGAGACGTATTTCAAGTAGAGGATTTTCATATATGTGTGTGATCACAAATGCAATATGAGCATCGTATATATTAGTTAAATGGTTCATAAATTTAAGAGACGTCCGAAAGACACTGGAAATTGGAATTAAATCTGATAAATCGAGATTAAAAAATGTCTTATATAGATAATTCATTCTTGTATTTTAAAAATTCTGTACGTTTTTAGGATATAAAATGCCTATCGATATATACGAGAGAAATCTGATTACCAAACATTCGAAAGGAAATATTTCTTTTATATAGAAAGAATAATTTTACTGGAACGTCTAAAAAAATTTAGATAGATATAAATCTAAAAACTAAGTTAGATCATCAAAATAATTACGAGGGTGTAAAACATTCAAATTAGTTACTAAATTGTCGAAACTTTTTGTAGTATTAGTATAATTTTTAAGCGTTTTAGATAATTATTGTATTGATCCAACAAAGTTATTTTTATATAGATCTGTATCAAGTTAAATTTTTAAGTATTTTGGCAAATCGTTTCTTCCGTGTAATATTAATATAAAAACAGTTATCTTTCTACCCGGTATATTATAAACTTAAATTGTGTTTATCAATTCCCTCAAATAGTGTACATAAAAGAAACACTTTGCTGAATCATTTAAAAATTTAGTTAGATACAGATCTAAAAATAATTATGCCGTAGCATTATCATTACATTTAAGTATTCTATAATAATTATTTTCAGATCTAGCCTAGTTTTTATATGATTCATCGATTAAACTATTCTCTCTTTATATGTACATATATATCTTACATATATATGAAATGAACCTTAGAGACTGTTCTCCTGTTCGGTGCATTTCAAATTTAATTCTAGATTCCATCTCCCGGGATATGTTGGACTGCTCATTGTTCAGCAGCGATCTGTGTTCTGTGCACGTTCGCAAACGCACGAATCAATATACAGCGCGCCGAAAGATATTACGTTAGTGATTGGATTCGCCAACATGGAACTATCGACCAGACCCACATGTTGCTTTTATATATATATATATATCAGGAAATAGATTTTAAATCGACAAAGGTCAATTGCCAATTCACGGACGTTTTGTCCGATTAATTGCTATCATCGACACCCGTTTTAATTTTACCACATTAATATTAATTTTAATACACAGAAAGAACAATTTTGCTAAAGTATCTAAAAATTTAACTAAATTAGATCTGATCAAAATAATATTGCAAAAAGTTTTAACATTCTGGCAATCAGTTTGAGTGTCCTATACATAATTATTCTGATGGTATAGCCAAATTATTTTTAAATCTACATATATATAGCTCTCAATTTTTAGATACTTTAGCAAAACTATTCTTCCTATATAAAATAGTAAACACATAAATACATAATTATTATTTCTAATACAAGATACAGAAATTTTTTTGCGAAGTAATGTTTGTTTGGCGCATATAAAATAATAATTTATAAAATAATAATAATTTTATTTAAAAAAAAACTATTGTAATCGTACGCAGTTTATTGAATTATTCTAATCTAACAAAATGACTTTTCATTTAAAATTAATACATCAATGAATTATTGTATAATAGGTATTAATGATCTTACAAGACAGGTTCATAGAACAGGTTTGAATCTAATAGAAGTAACATATGCATAAACACACTTGCATTATATTATACAATATTTAATGTATAAGACACAGGCTTGAGAAAAAAATCTACAGGCATCAATGCAATTACACCGATATTTAATCGGTCTAATCTTTTTTTAAATACAAATACATTGTAAGTATTATAACTATTCAGTATTAATCGACATGTAATTATGAAAATAATTTTCTCACGACTACGTTTGGTTCGTAATAGCTAGGAGTATTTGTAAATATCGATGCAATTATACCGACATTTAATCGGTTTTTAAAATATATAGCATAAATATTATAATTATGTAATATTAATCGAAATATATTTATTAAAATAACTTTCGCAATGACTACGCTTGGTTTGACCGAAATTTTATGTATGCGCCATAAAGAACCGATTGACATCGTCCGACAAATGTTATGTAAATGTCTTATCACAGTGTCATTACGATAAACGGTTTAATTAACTTTCATTAATAATGTCAATATCAATTCTTGTCAATTTTCCCGGGAAACTCCCGTCGCGACGCTGACGCGAACAAGAACTGTTATTCTTATTAACACGCTCGGTAGCGACGCGCGGGAACGGCTAATTAAAATAATTATCCTTAATTATGACGTTATCCGTTTCGGTGAAAATTCGCTCGACGAGACAGACAATCGAGGCCGGAACTATCGATCGGATGATTAAACCGTGCGTCCCTTCGTAATCTCCCATGAATATTAATTTGGATTACAATGCAATGGCGTTCACCGACGTAGTCAGTACCATCCGTGAAGACAACGAGCGACAGCGTGATCCATATGAGACGTTGCGTTGACCAAGAGTCGGATGATTTGAAGGCGAGCACAACTTCTTAATTCCTGCAGACGCAGATACCATCGCGGCAACTACCACCCTTGCGACGTTGCATCAGGCATTTAGCTGCACAAGGAGTGTGATTGAAACTCAGCCACTTAGACTGCCAGGATAGAAGGTCGCAGGTCACGCGGCGATTCCGAATGGGTGGCAGGTCCGACGATATTTCGTCGTCCACTGGATCCTCGATAGCAGCTGAAATGCAATTTCTCCGCTTTATTTTCCGATAAAAGTAGAGAACATCAATTATTGCGGAGTATCGCGTTTTATATACACTTTACGAATATCCGGTGTCTTGAAAGCTTTCATTAGACTATGCAGAAGAGGTTTTATCAAGGACGCGCAGATATGTATATTCTCTTGTCAAGCTGAAATTAACTCCTCTTCTTTATTCTTCTTGATTCTTAAAGCGAAAAAAGTAAGAAGTTTTTGAAGAAATTTAAAACAACTTCGTCTTTTCCCTTCTATGTGTCTCCAAAGTTTAAAGTTTTGTAATGGAAATTACATGGCCCTTGCGAATTAAATTTTAAACTTCAACCTTTTTACGTGATTCTAATTATACAAATCAGTTTGATATTTGAATTAGTATTTAAAAAATATGTAGCAAGATCTTTATAGAAACAACTTATGGTATTTAGCAAGCATCTAAGCGCAAAGATTATTTCTAATTCAGCATTTGGAAATGATATAGTAGTAACTTGTAATAATGGAATGACTCGACAGTAGAAAAGGTCGTGACGAGCTCGATATGAAAGGATATCGACAGCGTATTATCATACTAAAAGGGTGTCAGAGAGAGGAGAGGAGAGCGAGAAGAGGAAGAATGTGTGTGTAACTATTATGCGGCGCGAGACAAAAGACTGCGCATTCTGGATATTTATTACTTTATTGCAAAGTATCGCCACGTTATACGTCTCGGCGACGTACCGTTTTCCGCGAAAATGTAATCATAGTATAATATTCAACGAATCAAGCATTTATTATAATATCCGATCTAATTATCGACAAAAAAGTGATTTAATGTGACTCGAACTTGATATCTCAGTGAATAAATCTTTGATAATGAAGTGAGATATATATATTCAAGGTTAATTACAACTTGTTAAGATCTCTCCATTATATCAAAGGAATTTGGCTGTTATTTAAATCTAAATCCGGAGCTGATGGTAGATATATTTGGTTGGTTCTCAATTAAAATCTTGTCAAAAATGTCGAACAATTTTCTTTATGTTACATCTGTAAAATATTCTTATTAAAATATATTTGGATTCATTCTTTTTTTATATGAGTTATGTTATTTTGATTTTTTGATATTCATTAAGGTAATTCCGGTATATATGCCGCAGAAGTCAAAAAAAAATAGAAGAAGTGGGGATAATTTTCTCAGAACTACTTTGTTTTATATACCTTTACGTTATATTAGTATTGTGTTATGATTTAAATTGTTTACTGTTATATTAATAAAGCTATTGTGAGTTAAATCGATTGTCACCGTAATAAATAGTGGCCTCCATCATAAATTATAATATAATAAAATGATTACTGTAGGGCGTGTAAAAGATTTAATGATTACTTCGTGATGTCTCTATGGGATACACGACAAAAATGTAAAGGTTTTAAAAAGTTTTTTTTTTAATTCGAAAAATAAGTATTTTAGATTTCTAATATTTTTTTCATCTAGTAGTACAAAGTTTTTACCGCGGCGATATAGTTCGTTTACCTTAAACATAGTAAATATAATAATATTTAATTAATTAAGTTTTTGTTATAGATGCGACATATATTTAGCACCGGAGTTACCCTAGTACTTTTTAATTAAAGTACTAAATTATGTGAGTTTGTGATAATAATAATATCAGTTGTTAACAGTGAATCAGTAATACTATAACAGTATACGTTAATAATTTTACTATCTAACACGATGATTAGTATACGAAGATTAATATAGAAATCTGTCAGTATTCAGAAATATTAATATGGTAATCCAGATTTCTTGATTCTCAAGCAACGCAGTATTGCTCTATTACGGAATTCTGATGCTCAAGAATACAAAAATCCGGACCACCGTATTCTACATCAATCTATCGATATTAATCGCATACGATTATCAATAATATGTCAATATTTGTTGATATCGATAGCATTATTGATATAAAAGAACGTATAAGAACCCTACACAAATCCAGCGTCAGTAACTGTATCACCAAACGTTCGCGCGGAGTCAGCTCCGGAGAGTTAAGAGAATTTATTTATGATCTTCCTCGATAAAATATGTATATGCTTACTCAGTTCATAAGTAGGTCCGTCGTAGACAACCGGTAGTGTGTTGACCGAGGTGCAAGCCAGTACGACAAAGACAGCGAGGATAGCAAACAGTTTCATGATTGCGGAATGTACTCTCGTGTGTACTTAAATTCGTTTTGAACAACAATGTCCTTCCTTAAGGACGCGAAGTCGCTTTATATACCTCATCGCTGTCTCCGAGACCATTCTTTTCTATTTTCCTGGATGCGCTTCCGTCCACCGCCTTCCCTCTCGATGTTTTACGATTGGAATCCCCGCGGTTTCGCGTTCGCTGTTTCCAGATCCGCCAGCCGCTGACCAAATCCGCTGATGCGTAGACCGACCTATGTATTCGAATATTAATTTCCGGTATTATCACCGTTACCGGGACGACTGCGAGTGAAAGAGAGAAGCGACGAAACGGGTCGATCGATCGCAGCATTTCTATTGAACGGAAACGCAAACGTGACTATAGCTCGTGATATAAGTGAATTAAAAAGAATAATCGACGCAGATATATTCATTTCGTACTATTCAATTTGTGAACTTGACTACTTGAAGCTTCTTGAATATACTTGATTCTTCTATTTCTTTATACTCTGTCGACATACCGGTATATTATTATAAAAAAAGAAATCTGATAACACAGAATATTGAATGTGAAATAAAGAGCAATTTATTTCAGCATTATACGTTTCAATTATGATTAAGAGATTCGTTTTAAATTTTCAATTACTCCAACCGGATTTCATCTTTTGTAATAAAAGGCCGGAATATTAAACAATTCGAATTTCCGCATTACGACCACAAAGAGAAAATTTATTGAAACGAAATTTAAAAGTCAATTGGAATAACAACTCTTTACCATTATACAAGGTCTGTTGTTTCGCTGTGCTATAATAATGTTCTGCGTGTTTTGCATATCCAAAACATCAGCAATTTGTTTGTGAGAGACGTCATGGTGTCGATTAAAGTGATTAAACTGTGAATAAACAATCGATGATGGAAGGTAATGCTGTTGCAGGTGATCGCAAATTTCATCATCGTGAGCTGTACTGCAGCTGACCCAGATACTGAACAAAAATACGACTCCTGCGAACACTAAATATTTATGTAACTACGCAAATGTAACGTTTAATCTTTAATGCGTTGTTGTCATTCGTGACATATTTTTTTCCCTTTCACTGCATTTGAGCGCGTTACGACTTTAGGGATTACCCGTTACACACATCCCACGCAAATATATTTATAGGAGATTTAATGCCGAAA